CCCCCCCCTCCAAATAAATAAATAAATAAATAATGATAATAGGCAGCACAGTGGTGCAGTAGTAGAGTTGCTGCCTCCCAGCGAGCAGGTCACCGGAAAAAAACCCCGACTGGGGGCCTTTCTGGGGGGAGTTTGCATGTTCTCTCCGTGCTGTGTGGGTTTTCTCCGGGTGCTCCAGTTTCCTCCCACAGACCAAAAACATGCATGTTAGACTGATTGGTAACTCTGAATTGTCCTTAGAGAGAGTGTGACTGGTTGTTTGTCTCTATGTGTCCCTGTGAGGGACTGGAGATCTGTCCTGAGTGTACCCCGTCTCTCGCACAGGGACTAATGGATATGGGCACCAGTGACCCCCATGACCTGAAAAGGAAGAAGTTCAGGCTGTTGTAAAAAAAAATCCGATGTGAGTTGCCATCCATCCATCCATTATCTTTACCCGCTTCTTCCATTTTGGGTCACGGGGGTCGCCGGTGCCCATGTCCAACAATCACTGTGCGAGGGGCGGGGTACACCCTGGACGGGTCGCAAGTCCATCACAGGGACACATAGAGACAAACAACCATTCACTCTCTCACTCACACCTAGGGACAATTTAGAATCACCAATCAGCCTAACATGCATGTTTTTGGTCTGTGGGAGGAAACTGGAGTACCTGGAGGAAACCCACGCATGCACAGAGAGAACATGCAAACTCCACCCAGGAAGGCCCCTGGACCGGGGTTTGAACCAAGGACCTGCTCGCTGAGAGGCAGCAGCTCTACCAGTTGTGCCACCGTGCTGCCCCATGTGAGTTGCATTAGGGCAAAAAAAAACCTGCCTTAGTGGGAAGTATTCTCATGATGAGAGGCTGCACATATTGTTATTCATTTCTGTTGCACCTTGTCTCCTCCTTTTGCCGTTTCTCTTCACATCGGACTTCAGGTCCAACTCACAATCCAGCATCTGCAGAAGTTCTGGATGACTCTGCCTTTGTGGGCTGCATCACTGGTGACCAGGAAGCTGAATACAGAGGTGTGGTGGACAGAACCACCTGCAACTCAACGTTGGAAAAACTAAAGAGCTGCAGGTGGACCACAGGAAGAAGATCAACCCCCTCCAACCCTATCAACATCAAGGGTAGTAACCTATCAACATCAAGGGTACTAAGGTGGACAAAGTGGACTTCTACAAGTACCTGGGGGTCCACCCAGACAATAAACTGGACTGGACAGCTAACACCAGCGTCCACTACAAGAAAGGACAGAGTCGCCCTCTTCTTCTGAGTAGACTCGGGTTCTTTAACATCTGCAGGACCATGCTGCAGATGTTTTACCACTCGGTGGTCTCCAGCGTCTTCTTGTACGCTGAGGTGTGCAGGGGCAGCAGGGTGAAGAAAGATGACGCCAACAGACTTGATAAACCCATGAGGAGAGCTGGTTCAGTTCTGGGAGTGGACCTGCAGTCTCTGACAGAGGTGTCTGAGCAGAGGATGCTGAGGAACCTGCTCCAGGTCCTGAACAACACATCACCCCCCCTGCAGGACACACTGGACTCTTACTGCTGCACCTTCAGTCTAGACCAGACCTGGGCATTGTACGGCTCCAGGGCCACATGCGGCCCTTTGGTTGACTCTGACCGGCCCCCGTAAGGGGAATTACAAAATACATATGTAAACAAATGAAGTTAACCAAATCAGATATAGATCCTCTCTCAATAATGATGTCAGCTTTGCTTCACATCTCCACCTCAGACCTTCAACCTGACTTTAACATTTCTGTTAAAGCCCAACAGAGACTAGACTTCTCTCACTAAACAAGAAAAAAGAACTGAAAAACACCAAATGAGATGTTTAGACTACAAATGTAGGCACGTGAAGAACCGGGACTCGAAATCACAGTTCAGTGACGATCACTATTATATGATGTTTCATAATATTTGGAGTACAAAGACAATATTGTGATATATTTAGAAAGCTAAGAACTTTTTCCAGCAGTATATAAAACTCAAAATGAGTTTTGGTGTGAATGTGACTGAAAATGATCATTAATATAACGTCACAAATGGTAAAAATGTTAACAGTTTACCATTGCACTGGAAAATTTAATTGAATAAATGACATTTTTGTATGGAAACCTCGCTTTTTTCGTTGCTTAATCATAACAAATACTCTTACCAGCTTGTTAAAACAGTGCTATGTACTGCTTTTAATAATGAAATACTATTATTATGCAGTATTGAGTTAAGTTGAAATCAGGTCTCTCTTGTAAATGAGTCCTCGAGGCTCAATGGGATTTACCTGTCTAAATAAAGGTTGAATGAAAAAGTCATTTGTGCCAGCCCTCCACAATATTTGTTGTTTCTCATGTGGCCCCATGGAAAAAATAATTGCCCACCCCTGGTCTAGACTGAGACCACCGAGGTGCTCCACAGAACAACACAGGAAGTCCTTCAAACTTTTCAACTCCTCCCCCTTTCTGCACACAGCACAATAAATTAATCCTGAACTACAATAAACACTTTAATGTTTCTGTCTGCACCTGATTAGAACTTAAGTGTTGGTATTTTTATATTCTCTGTTATTTTTTTGTATCTTGTGTGATTCTTGTGTATGTTCCTTTGTACTGAAACTCTGGCACAACAATTTCCTGTGGGGTCAGTAAAGTTCTGTCTTATCTTGTCTTGTCTTACTGACAGTACGGCCCTTTGTTGTATTATATAATACAGAGATTTCTTCTCCGCTCACTATATGTTTATACATAAATTATATTTTTTATCGTTGTGTTTTTTCTCTTAAAATTAAATCAAGACTTCATTTTGGTAAAAACAACACAGATGTCTGAGGAATTATTTATTTTATGGTGAAAACACTTTAATAAAAACTACTGTTTAAATCAAAGTAGGTTTAAGGCAAATTTATTTTGACCATTTTAGGCATATAATCCACTGACGAGGCACATTTTCTGTGCGTTTTAGCCATTTATGTATGAAACAGTTTGGCTCATCCAGGAGATGGCTGGCTCTGTTGTTCTAACTTTGATTCTTTTAGCTACTATTTGTCATCTTTAAGGTGTTCTGCTTCTTTCACTTTTTTAATTGTTTTAGCTTCTTCAGCTGTCAGCAGCCCTTCAGCACTCAGTATTCACACTTTCACAAATAATGCTCTGCTTTCATTTATGAAACCTGCTGCCCTTGACCAAATTATATCAGATGAATGAATTCACAAGGAAATGATAATTGTCCTCACTCATAAAATGTAGACCAGCCAATCTGGATGCTCTTGGTTGCCAGTAAGCCACTGTTTCCATGGTAAGTAAATAAAACCAGCTCCTGACCCTGAGCAGTGAGAGACTTTAGACCCCCGTTAGTCCCAATGGTCAGCCAAATGACCTATAAGCACAAAACAAACATTAAATATTTATATTCTGCTCACAATCAAAATCATCATTAGAGCCACAGAAAGTATGTAACTGTAGGAAAACTTGAACTTCTCACCTGATTATCAGGAGCGACCACACGTACAGGCATCCTGTTGGTGTCCCTCCGAATCCGAAGAGTGTTCCCGCTACTGTCCGTCACAGCTGTTACATCCTCCTCATTGCTAAAAACACAAAATGACTAAATGAAAACTGAGCTATGACTAACACTGAAAGGAGTCAAACTGCTAAAGTGATGATATTTTTATAGTAAAAATGGTGTACCGACCTGTAGCTGAAGTTGTATTTGTAGTCTCCAGTCACCAGAGACAGAGTGAACTGGTGCGTCCCATTAGCATCAAACACATAGAGTTCTTGAGAGGCTGGAGAGGCCACTTCATAGGACCTGGGTCCTGAAGCCAAAGAACCTGAATACAAAAAAAAGAAGAAACTCTGACTTACGAAGGACTTTATTTATTTTACACTTAAAAAGATATAAAAAACAACAATAAAATGTGGAACTGTGATTGGGTTTGAAGAGACCAAATCATCCATCCATCCATTATCTTTACCCACTTCTTCCTTGTTGGACCGCAGGGGTCACTGGTGCCCATATACAGCAGTCCCTGGGCGAGAGGTGGGGGACACCCTGGACAGGACTCCAGTCCATCACAGGGACACATAGAGACAAACGAGACAAACAACCATTCACTCTCTCTCACCTAGGAACAATTTAGAGTTACCAATCAGACTAACATGCATGTTTTTGCTCTGTGGGAGGAAACCGGGTTACACGGAGAAACCCACGCTGCACGGAGAGAACATGCAAACTCCACCCAGAAAGGCCCCCGGACTGGGAATTGAACAAGGGTAACTTGCTCGTTGTGAGGCAACAGCTCTACCAACTGCGCCACCGTGCTGCCAAAAACAAATATTTTTGAAATTATAAACGGGGCATACTAAAACTATTTAAGCCTGTTCTACTGGTTTTACTGATAAGATGAGCACACACATGTTCACATTTTATACATTATTTTGTGTAACTAAAAGGATAATTTACGCATTTAAAAATTCTGAATTATTTGAACAACGAGGTGTGCAATGGCTGCTTGGTAACTTCAACTTTTGGGTAGAAGTACAGTAGTCCCTCGCTACTTCACAGTTCATTTATCATGGACTCGCTCTATCACGATTTTTCAAAATAAGATTGGACATGACACACAATTGGCATGGAATTTTAATTTAAAATAAATTATTTTAAATTATTTAGCACCTGCTACACATTTGTGCAGCCCATACTGCAGGATAAACTTCAGCTGATCAGCTGATCTGCGTGCAGAGCTGAGAAGCAGGCGTGGCCAAGAACGCTTGCAGGTGGCAGAGAGCAGCGGAGGCAGAGAGAGGGACATCATGACATTCTGTGCTCTTTCAGAGCTTCTTTTACAGTTTCTATCTATCTATCTATCTATCTATCTATCTATCTATCTATCTATCT